GATTTGACTAGATACAAGGCAAAGATTTTATATACCATAGTTAAGCAAAGAGTAACATGACGCTGCAACAAAATAAACATGACACTTGATCTTTCAGCTAATCGATTAACTGGTGGGCTTCCTTCAGCCTTTGTTTCATGCTCTTCACTCTTCAGTTTGAACCTTGGTGAAAATGAACTCTCTGGGTGATTTTCTTGCTTTTGTAGTGAGCCATATACCAAAATATTATAAATCTACATGTACCATTTAATAGAGTTACTGGTCATGTCCCTCGATAACTATTGGCAAATTTTGATCAACTTCAAGTACTGGATCTCAGCTCAAATGCCTTTACAGGGGATGTACCTTTTTGAGTTCTGCACGAAAAACTCAGCTCGAAAAACTAATATTGCCTAATAATCATCTCACACGCATCATATATGCCATCTCAGCTAGGACTCTGCACAAAACTGAAGATAATTAATCTCAGTTTCAATAACCTAAGTGGTTCAATCCCTCAGGAGATTTTGAATCTACCAAGTGTTTCGGACTTAGTCGCTTGGGGTAATAGTCTCACAGGAAAAATTCCAGAAGGATTTTGCATGAATGGGGGAAGTCTTCAGGCAATAATTCTCAACAATAATCTCATTACTGGACCACTTCCAAATTCTATAATCGATTGCACTAGTCTGGTTTGCGTCTCCCTGTCCAACAAATAGCTTACTGGGGAAAGTCTTCTTGACATTGGTAATATGGTTTAGGTGAATTACTTGAGATCGAGGGTATTCGCGTAGATAAGCTGGTAAATTTTCTTAGTATTCTTTCATGTCCATCGGGATGAATTTACTTGGCTAGCAAACTATACACTTTCTAATCTCATTAGCACTTCCTTTTTCTTTATTCATCCTTGTCATATGTATAAACTATAGGAGTAATTAGTAGTTAACCCTTTATCCAATTATCCGTTAGGAATATTAGAAAGAACATCCCTTTATCGCGAGCTCTCTTTTCTAATTTCTATATTATTTCTTGTTGACCTTTGTGGACTTTTTAATTTAAATTCCTATCATTCCTTTGTAATCGTATATTATTTCCATTTCATTTTATATGATAGTGGTTAAGTAGATATGGCAATCCTAAAAAAAAACATGTTTTATTGAAGATTAAACGAAAATGCAAAGATAAAAAGTTTTCGACAATGTATCAACATTTTTAGGAATGGACAGAAAAAGAATGTCCTATAAAATACGCGGATAGAGAAATCTTTACTACTCATGACTTTGGTCCTATTTACTTGTCAATTTAGCCTTTCTGCACACCCCTTAACAAAAATGTTAATAATATAAGTTGTTTCGACTAAATTGATCTTATTTATTTTTTGACCTTTCAATGATTTTACTTCTTTCTAGAACACTCATTAGAGTAATAATGATAAATTGAATAAAATAATCAATTCTTTTTTGTTATTCTAAAATAATAAGTATTTTGGAACAACTAATTTTAGCGAAAATGACAAGTAAATAGGAAAGTATTTTCCATTTTAGAAACACAAGAGAATGATTGTGGAGAGAGAGATTAATGAGATAAAATCAATTTGTAGTATTACTTTGAAATGAAAGAAAATAAGGTTAATTTAGTTAAATTCTCCTTTTAATTAATATTTTTTAAGGTGCGCGTAAAAATAGAAAATAACAAGTAAAGTTTAGTGGGAATTGTTTTTAACAAATTGCAAACATGCAAGTTGAACACTTGGTGCTTATTGCACATGCAACATTAAATTAAAGGCAAAAATGATTTGATATAAATAGTGAATACCAGTAAAAGAAATATTAGATTAGTGGAATATCGATGAATCATATTGAGTTATGAGAGAAGAAAATAATTTTAAAATTTAGTACCACCAAAAATATCATTCAGCCTAATTTTAAGGTTTGGACGACTCCTTTCATCATTCTTTATTGTGGTTGTAGTCTTCCTTGGTAAGCTTATAGCCTCAGTTAAGAAAGCAGTTTTCTTATGATGTTCAGCTAAATTGGCCAAAAGGTCTGCTGGGATATTTTCTTCCCTGAAGATGTGATTAAACTGGAACGCACTACCGGGATTTCCTTTGGAAAAATTAACCGGGATTTGTTTATCATATGTGTTTTATATTTCAATTTCTAATAATTTTAATTTTTTTTATACTTACTGCAACTCTCTCTCATATTAAATTATGGTTGTGTTGTCCTTAATGTACAATTTAGTAGTTGACCATGAAACTAAAAATTCATGGCATTAGTACAAGTCACACAGTCAGAAAGAGAAAAATATATAACTAACGAAAAAGAAACATAGAACGAAATGAAAAATGAGAAAACCTCCACCCCTATAATTAGGAGTGTTCAAATCGAACCGAAAAATCGTACCAAACCAAAAAGTCAAATCAAATCGATCAAAAAATTCGACTAGCTTTGGTTTGATTTGGTTTGGTATTGAGTAAAAAATCCCGAACCAAACCGACATATAAATATATAATTTTTATATATTTTGAAGACTTTATATAGAATTTTCTTTAAAAAATATCTAGAAATATTTTGGTTCCTCTCATGAGATATACTCCCTCCGTTCACTTTTACTTGGCACGTATTGACTTTTCACGCCCCTTAAGAAATAATAAATGAAGTGCATAATTTATCATGATACTCATATTAATTTATGCATATTTTATGAGAAAATGATTTAAAATGAGTAATAAATATTGTGGGTATAACAGGAATTTTTTTTTTATCTTCTCTTGATATGCGTAAAGTGACCAGTAAAAATAAAAATCTATTTTTAGTATACATGCCAAGTAAAAGTGAACGGATGGAGTAATATTTAATAAAACTATAAAGTGCATTCATTTTTATTTACTTTAAATAGTGAGTTGTATCACTTTCATATCAAGTGTTATTGAATGTGTTAATCATCTCTATGTTCTTATATATTCATATGTCAAGATTTCTTATATCTACTTTGAATTTGAAATGGTATTTTGATAGTTTAAAATTAAATAGAACATATCATTATTTAGGTATTATATTGATTTATATGTTTAATTATTAAATTCGGTTAACCTTGAAAATGTATATCAACTAATATTATTAGACAACTAAGAAAATAACTATCATGTGTTACTAAAAAAACTTCTCCCATAAGAATATTTTAATATATAAATCATATGTTTGTTAATTGTTTTTAATTTTTACTAAACATAAATTCACTTATCAAAAGTTTATCTATAACTTTGATAAAGTAAAATTACAATAATATTCATGTAACAAAAAAATCTGAAAAACTCGACAAAACCGAACCAATCAAAACTGATATAGTTGGTTTGGTTTGGTTTTGATAAAAACCGAACCAACATGCCGGTTCATGTCCCCTACCTACAAGAGTGTTCCGGTTTTTATATAACTAGTCAATACTTTCTTCTCTAGTTGATCTTGTGTTTACCATTAATTATAAGTCATTTGAGAGATAGAGAAGAATCCTGACTTCAATATCTCAACTTATAAATCAAATAATTGAGATGAGTTGTGTTCATCATCGAGCATGGTTAAGGTTAATCTGAAATGTTTTTTCTTGCAAATACTTTGTTTAGGAATTGCTCTGCATTCTTCCTCCTTGTAAAGTTAATTCTTATTCTCCGGATTGGTACCTGACTTTGTACCACTTAGCTTTTTGAGTTTTTACTTAAGAATATTTAACTCTCGTAATGTATATGAAAATAGGAGTTGACATAATTATATTAAGAATAGTCATATTAACTCAAGATAGTTCTTCTTTGAAATAAAAATAGCTAAATTCCATAAAAATGACTCCATATTAGTTTCATTTGAATAAAATAATTGCATGTTATTTGCTTAACCATGAAAGATTCTAAGGTGTATAATCTGAGGTAATAATTAAGCTGAAACTACTAGACGATAAATAATTATAAATTTGTTGCTTAAAATCAACATTGAAGTAGAAAGTAAAGATTTACTAGCTAGAAACTAAGTAATTCATCTCAAATTTGATAAAGTAAATTGATTAGCGGGAATTGGAGATTGTTCGTTTGCTAAAACCTTGTATCCCTGATCGTTGATTCAGTACGTTCCTATTTCCCAGGAACTTTTATAAATCTTCATATGCTTTATGTCTTTATGATAATAGTATTTATTGCAAAAATCAAGAGGATGATTATAGTAATACATGAAAATTTGGGCGTAGTACTTTTGTACTCCCCATTTGAGTAAAAATCTACTATGAAAGACATTCTTCACTATGAAAATTTTTATCAACGAAACTTGTATGACAGTCTAATTCTAGAATGTATAAGCATAGGAATTGACATAATATTCAGCCTATTAACAAAAGAAACTTGTTATATTTGCTTTATTTTTGCTCATAGAAATAATTAAATTCGTCAAATGACATTAGTTTCATTTGAAATAAAATATTTGCATTTTTATTGCGTACACAACAAAATTTAAGGTGCATGTCTTGTGGTAAATCGAGTATTAATTTGAAAATAATTATTACTTACAAATTATTGTGTAAAAACGAGAAGAAGATTAAACAAATAATAATAGAAATTAACAGTTCATCCAAAATTTCATAAAATAGGCCTTATTACACTAATTAATGTGTTAACATATGACTTCTAAATTATGTGTTAACATGACTTTTCTTCTCGTTTATATACGTTTATATTAAAAAAGACAAAAGGACGGTTTTGGAAATTAATAAATAAAAAGTTAGTAGTTCTCTTTTTTGAATTTTTGCTGGAGACCGGAGAGGAAAGGAATTTAAATACGTGAATGACTAGGGTCATCTTTTGAGAAAATAAAAAAAATGAATAGGGCTAGCTGTAACAGAAATATGGAAAGTAAAAATAGGAAACAAAAGTCAGAATCCTACTTAATAAAGGATTGGGACGTCGTAATACTCCTCAACTTCACCTTGTAACATAAGAGTACGAAGCAGCAGCAGCAGACGTTCACAAATTACTTTCAGAAATGGCTTCAGTCTTGTGGAAGAGAGTGAGAATACTGGGTAAAGGTGGATATGGGGTTGTTTCTTTAGCTTCAACGTCCGATAATCAACCTCCCACGTTAGAGCGTCTTCCACCTCTCATCGCCGTGAAAACTTGCTTACTCCATCGCTCTCAATCGTTGCAATATGAAGAGGCATTCCTCAGCATGTTTGCGGACTCGCCTTTCATTATTCACTGTTTCAGACCTAATATTGAACTACAAGATGGCGTTGCCGTTTACAACTTACTACTCGAATATGCCTCCGGAGGAAGCTTAGCTGATCGTCTTCACAACTACAACTCAGGGAAAGGACTGTCAGAATTTGAAGTTAGAAAACACACG